CTCTGTGAGACCACTCCCTGGCTTGTTTGAGCCAGCCTGCATGTAGGTGCATTTGCACAAGGGCATTTATGGAGTTGACTTGACCATTGTATATTTGATCCTTCCACGGAATGAGTGTTTTTCCTCATTGCGAATCTGCCACTCTTTCCAAAACTGCTTGGATGCCCAGAGCAGCATAAATGTGGCCTGTGCCCAGGGGCACTCCAGCACTGCATGTACTGGTGCCCCTTGTTGGTTCATTTCTTCTTCCTTCCCTGTTTCTTCTCCTCTTTCCCTTCCAACATAAGCTGACGAAAGAAGCGTGTTGCCAGAATTACTGATTTGCAAAACTACTACTGGAGGTGACATCCAGAGAATCTTTTGAGACAGGGCTTAGTAGGGCAGGCTGGAATTCGTTCTTAAAGGATTGCCTGGAAAACCGATGCCGATGCTTCAGAATTTGGCACGAAGTTTTCTCTAGCCTCTGCTTTAGCTTCGAAGCTCAGTCTTCTGCATTCGCATTCTAAAAGTTCTAGGAGGAAAGCTAGAAGCACTTGAGTGCTTTCTGTGCTGGAGAACGTTGACATCCGATTTGGAGGCGCTGAGATAACAAAATATTCCTGATGTAATGTGCAGGTTGGCTAGAGGGGCTACTGCTTGGCAGTTGGTCAGGGCACGTGCTGCTTTTGTAGCGTGCCGCAACTTGGGATCCTGGCAACTCCCATGAAAAGAGACTGAAGGTGTGCCCAAGATCTTCAAAAAACCTGCCAATTCAAGAAGGCATTGCTCAACTTCGTACATCGTTTTCTCAAATGTTTGTTGTCCTGATGTCGCAAGTATATGGGTTGTGTGTGGGTGGAATAGCACCAAAACCAATAGTATTTTTATATACCGCTCCAACTTAACCAACTCTCTGATTGTCCAGAGCAGGAGCTCAGATCCTGACTTAGTCAGAATAGACCCACTGGACTTAATAGAATTATTGTGCCTTATTTTATTCACCTTTGTTTTGCTGCTTGTATTTTGTGTGATGGGAATCTGGGTTTGGCTCAGTGACCTTCAAGGCAAACTCCAACGTAAGAGACTCAGTCCATTTGTTTATTTAAAAGAAAGTAGTGAGATTTGTATTTATTTATAGTTTAGATTTCTACAGATGTACTTATTCTGCTGTGGAATGTAAAAATCTTAGTAAGCAGCACAGAGAGCTCCATTTATAGCATGAGCTTGCAATCTTCATGCTAAATATATTCAAAATTCCTTGAGACTTGCTTCTGGGTTCACGAATGTAGGACTGGAACCGTGGTCACTTGTGGGTTGTGAACCACAAACTAGCTAGTTAGTTTCTTCTTCATTGTATTATGTGAATGAAGAAGGTTGGATTGATTGAATAAAACCGTGGTTAAGTAACTAGGGGTATGTGGGTCTTGTGAACATAGCCGTGGAGAGCTTTTGAAAGAATTTGCGGGGGGAAAAGCAATTCTGGAGCAAAGTTGGCTTTGAATGGTTGGCACCTTGGCACTTCTAAGGTGAGTATGTTAGTTCAAACACCTTCAAACAGCCTTCTGTTAGGTGAGATATTGGGCTGCAAAACCCAGACAGACACTAGGTGGCAGCAAAGAGCCACCCAAAGCTAACTCTTCTCCTCCATCTAGAGGTTATTTCAAGCATTGCAGCCCAAATATTGCAAGCCCAATTTAAGGCTAGAAGGCACGCAGTTAAGAAAAAGTTCATTCGTGCCTTGAGCAAAGATTTAGACTCCCTTGACTAAAATGAACCATTCCGTCGCTGAAAGCCCAGCTGCTGAAGTTTAATTAGGCTTAAAAATTGTCCAGCGTTTTAAGTGAAGGGAGGTAGTCCCACTAAATGAATACATTTGACTAGATGCAGCCATTAATCAGCACATTAACATGGACGGAGATTTGCTGCTTGGGTGAACAGGAACATGTAGTCTTCTTTAAATTAGAGGTCTGTTCCCAGAATTAAGAGAAAAATACTTCTGTTGGACTCTCGGCATTTCTTTGGTCTCCTCTCAGCAGCCATTGGCCATAACAGCTGAGTAGCTCCTGCGTGTACCAAGATTGGGGGTGGTGTGTGTGCCAAGAACGGGCAGTGGGGAGAGTTGTTCTTAGGCCCTATATGCAGTCTATAGAGACAGTGAAACCCCCCTGGCCACCTAGCAGACTGTGTGGCTTTATTAATTTAATTAGAGAATGTCAAGGACAAAGCAAAACACCATCAGATCTTAACCGTGGCCAAGAGACAGTCTAGTGAGCTCGCTCTCTCCTGTAGTGTTAAGTGTGTTGTAATTACCACTGCATTTACGCACCAAGCCATGATTTCTTTAAAGCTTCATTTGTGGAACAAACCATGGTGTTTGGCTTGCATGCAGTTGAAAACCATAATGGCTGCACCTCGCACCAAGCCACATTATGGCTTTGGGAAACAGGCATCTGTACAGTAAAGCAGGATTATTCTTACCTTTGGAGTTCAGGTGTCTGTTTGAAGCTGGTAGTTAACAGTGAGAGTGGAAGAAGGGGAAATTTGAAATATATATATATATATATATTGGTAATCTCTTTGATGCCAGAAACAGTAGACCAAGTGCTTGTAAGAAATTTGAACTTCATTTATAGGTAGAACTGCTGGGAGTTACAGTACTGGGTACTTATTCCCAGCCTAGGTGGAGGGCAGTCAGTTGGGGAAAGATGTCGGAGCTCTTGAGAGGGAAAATCAGGACGAGGATCAGCCACGCTACAAACTGAATTGATTGTTCGAAAAGAGGCACGCCGCCGAAATCTGAAGAAGCGTTGAAAATTGCTTTCTTATGTACAACCAGCCCTTAGGCTTGGATATGCTTTATCTTTGGTATTCCACCATCTTCCCATTGGAGAGAGCATTATGGATCCTAATTTGTGTCGAAAGCTTGCCAGTGAGCAACACTGTTTGGTTAGTATTTATGCAACCAGTGCATTTTGGGTCCCACTGAGCATCATTAATGCAGTTCCAGAGAGCTTACTTCCTGCTGCTGGGGAGCGGTTAATGCCTCAGAAAATGACAAAGCCAGCAATAAACAAGTGCCCTTACTCTTACACTCTTCTGCCCAGTGACCTCACTGATTTGCCAGCTTACGCTCAAATTCCTTTTGATTCCCATCTCCCGCCCCTTTTCCTGTAATTCTGAATCGAAGCAAGCAAGGGAATAGAAAACTGTTCCAATGCTGTGTGCTGGGGGCACTCTTCATAATACAATAGAGAATAAATTTACTCTGCACTGCAGCTGAACCTCTGCAGCTGTATGTTTGCAATTTTCTTAGAGCAAAAGGACCCTTTGAATTAACCCGGTCTTGGGGGTAATGGAGGAAAGTTTTACCTCTGGCAAGGTTGCTTCGTCTCATCAGCGCTGGTTCCGTGTCAGTGCAGTCAGATGGCAATTGCGAACTGTAAATCATCTGTGCTTGGGAACCAGAGGAAGTAGGGTTTTTTTGAAGAATTACATGCCCGAAGTTTGCCACAAACAGCAGGTGAGGCGGGCAGAGCAGATACTCCTGTTTGAAATACATCCGGTGGAAACCGCATTCTGCTCCATGTAGGAAACTAAATGTGAGAGAGAAGGCAAGCTTTGCAACTTTTCTCCTTGGTGTAGTAGCGTTTCTGTGAGCGAGCCAAACCTCCTCCTTGAGTTTTCCAGGCATTTGCCTAAAGTACTCCATCCATAAAGTGGTTTTTTAAAAGTCTTTTTCACTTGCACCGGGACGATGTCTTGCTCTAATGCTCTGTAAATGGAGTCATTCTAGGAGCCCCAGCAGGCAATGAGAAAGTAGCTGATCTTTGTATGAAATATTTGCAACTGGTTCCTTGCACCGCTTGGGATAAGCAGTGGTTGGTGCCCAGCAGGGCTGGTGGGTAGAGGTTAGGGTCCCTGAAATGGAGCCCAGAACTTCATGGAAGGTGGGACCAGCTAGAGCTAAGAAGAGAAAAAGGTGGATGGAGTGTAATTCAGACACCTTGGCTGGGGAGGGAGCTTCCTGGCCTGAATCAACATGAAAAGAGTGCAGGTTTCATTTTTGCTGACTTTCTCGTGACCCAAATTCAGTTTTGGGTTGTAGGTCCCATTTTCCACTTGTGGTGTCAGCACCACATACAGAAATAAACATAATTCTAGGCCAAGTTCACAGTGTAGCTCTATGCCCCTTTTTCCCCCTTTCCTTTCTAGCTCTAGTTCTGAATCATAAAAACATTTAATATAACGAAAATTGTTGGAAGTCTGAATAAATGCAGATATGGTCCTGGTGGTTTCACAGGCTTGGAAGAGCAGAGTGGGAGGACGAAGCGTTCTTGGAACCGAAAACACAGAATGCAATTTGCTTATGGAAATGCAATCTGCCTAGAATCGTAGGCAGGGAATTGTGCAAAACTAGCAGTAGTGATTTGAAGTTCCTCAGAAAATGACACCAAATTAGAAATATGTTCAAACACAGCCTGGCTTCTCTCCTTAAAAATGTTTAATTTTAATAATTTTTGCCATTCAGTTCTGTAGAACAGCACTGCCTTTGCGTTCACCTGCATATAGTTATATCCTGTGGTATATGGTATACATTTGTTTTCTGAAATTGTCTTCCTTGCAGGCCGGATTTGATTTCCATGAGGGTCAACACTGCTCTTTGCTTAGTTGCAGTTGATGACTGTTTTCAAAGGGGCCTTTTATTTTTTTTTCCTGAAAGCATCTGATGAAAAGATTAGCAAAAGTCCTAGGAGGAACTAACCAAGATCTTGGCATTCCATAGTTTTCCTCTTATCTTGTAGCAAACTTAAGTACCATCTGGTAGCTGTTGTCAACGTTCCCCTGAATGCAAGTTAAAGCAAGAGTCGGTTATATTGGGATTATAAAGCAGCAGCCCAGAAGTTGTGGAGTTCAGGCCATGAATAATCAAATACGTGTGTTTGGGGTTTTTCTGTCAACCCTGTCCCTCTGCATCTGTCCAAACTAACGGAGCTTTTCCCCCTCCCCTTTCTGTTTTTCAGTAAACGTGGTTTCAGCGTCCGATCCTTTGGTACCGGGACTCACGTGAAGCTGCCAGGACCAGCCCCAGACAAGCCCAACGTTTACGATTTCAAAACGACATACGATCAGATGTACAGTGACCTCCTTAGGAAAGACAAAGAACTGTATCCCTGCGGAAGGCCCTTTCAAAATCCTGCTCTCTGCTATTCCCCAAGGCATCTTTGTGCTCCTTTGCATAAGGAACACGTGGCTACTTGACTCTGGCCAAGTCTGGTATTTCCAGCTCTCAGCAGGTGCTTCACACTGTAGAAAGGGCTCCTAACACCACCCCGTAATTGCCTCCCCTCCATTGAGTAGTGCGGTTGTGCGACAGGTTGGTTAGAGCAAGGGGACACTGGCATCTCTCTGGGGGTGCAGTTGCCTTTCTGTGCCAACAACATTACTCTGAGCCGTTCAGTCTCTGGAAATGAAGTGGCGTGTCAGTTGTAGAGTAATAAATTGGGGGGAGAGGCAGCCTTGCAACTCGAGTCATTTCAATATAGAACACCCCCTCTCCACAGTCCAACATTTGGCTCAAGGTCTGTCCGCAGCTCCCCATTAGCCTCCCTCTCGCGCATTGTTCTGTCTTCTCCCTTGGGAGCCTTTCTCTCCATCGAGACCCAAGGGTGAGGCTATAGCTTCTTGCTAAAGTCCTGGGCTCAAATTTTCAGTTTTTCCACATAGGGCTGGGATAGATTTTGTCCAAAGCCCAGGTGAGCTGCTGCTATGTAGTGGGACAGACTGAGTTGAGGCACCCATGGTTCATATCAGATGACTTTCTGATAACCTGAGCTGTCCCTGTCTCTGAACCTACTCAGACTCAAATATTTCTTCATCCTCTGTTTCCTTCTCTTCCCAGACCCCCTTCACTTCTCCATGTCATCTTCCCCAGGACCAAATAGTGAATTGCTTGGCTGTACAATAGAGAGAGAATAGCTGTCCTCCAGTCTACCTTTCTTTCTCCCCCCCATGTCTCATACTCTAAAAAAAAATAATACTTGGAGAAAGGCAGAATTCCCATAGGATGTGGGGCACTGGGGAAGCCCCCTTCCCTGAGCCAAGAGATGAATTGGGGCAGTAGTTCCCATAAGAAGGGCAAGTCTTACTGGAAGGGTCCTGGCATTTTAAGGGCTGGGATGAATACCCCCATACCAAATGTCTGGGATTTACATTGGAGCTTTACCCAGGGTAAAGCTTGTGCTTTGATGCAGATTCTCACAAGACATTAAGTCATTCAGTCAAGGAAGCAGGTAAGAGTTAAGCTCAGGCCGCTTGCATCATGATCCAGAAGGAAATGTGCCCTTGGTTCCATCCTTCTGGAACAGCTGGGCTGCTGTGTAGCTCTTCAGCTCTCGTCTTCAGTGCAGACATCATTCTAGCATCTAGATGGGCCTTTTTTCAAGCACGTTTCAGGGTTGAAGGCCCAGCTGTGGGACAGGTAGCAGAGGTTTGCTCATTTCAGGCAGTCCTGGAGTTTTTCTACAGAATCCAAGCAGACAGAACTTTCCCCTCAAAGCTCCTGCTCTTCTGAGGCAGGGAATTTGGAACCAAGACTTTGGATGGGGTGCTTGATTGAAGAAGGGATTCGCAATCCTTTCTGCTAAAGTGACATTCCGTAATTTCAAAACCAACAAGAATCTTCATATACTTTGGAAATAGGCCCCAGGAGGAGAGCTCTGAAGGTCCTAGAACTTCATCCATATCGGTTCTGCAGCTCAGATCCATAAAACCTGGTTTTGAGAATGTTGTTGGCCCTGGCTCTTGAGGTCCTGAGGACAGAACGGGGTACGTGTAGGGAAAAGACTGCCTTACTGCTCACCAAGGGCCTGGCCTGCAGCTCCCTTACTCTCTGAAACTTGGAGCCTACAGCTTCAGTGGGTGTCAATGGTGGGGAATGCTCCAACGGAGAGCCTTCAGCTCCCATCATCACCTTTTTCTTGTTCTTCAGGCCCCATCTGACCATAGGGGGTGGGCTTGTAGGGCAACCCCAGAACAGTTGCATTTGGATGGAACTGGCTTCAGTTGAGATTTGCCCTATGGCTGGCTTCATAAGACTTTGGAGGGAGGCACAGGAGGCACCTGATCCTTTGACCCTATACCAAGCTTGTCTGCTAGGCTGTGTTAGTTCTCACTGAATTGATAAGCCTGCCACTTCAGACTGTGAAGGGGGTTGGAGGTTCATAACATGGATTCTCAGAGGGATCTTTTTGACCAAAGACCACAAGGCCATCAGAAACAGAAATTGCTACCCTGAATGGCCCAATGCTGGCAGGGGACACACACACAGACAGCTCCACCTTCAAACGAAATGTGACTCAGATTTCTTTTTTATTGTCATGGCTAAAGACCTTTATCTCTTAAAGCCATCAGAACCAATGGCCTTCATTATGGCTGGTTCACACGTTATGATAAGCTATTGTGGTTTGTATGGTTTTGGGTTAGTGGGGGAATCCGTAGCATTTAGGCATGCGAGCATATGGGGGGATTCTCATCACGCAGCTGCCTTAGCAGGTACAGCTAGTCAGAAGACACCCACTTACAAGAATGTGGACTAGTGGAGATGCTCTTCTTCGCCCCTTCTAGCCTCTCCAGAAACTTTCTACTGTTTTTTTCCAGGTTGGGTGGGCACCTTTCCAGACAAGCAGGGGGGTGCAGTTCCCTAATTTCCTTTCCTAAGCATGCTTCCAAAGTATATGCAGGGCCTGGAAGCATTCTTGGAACAGCAAGTAGTGCTTGTGAGTGTAGCTTTGTTTCTCAATGAGCTGGACTTCCCATTTTCATTTATATTAAAAAGAAATTTGAAAAATCAGATGGGACATGGAGCCTGGAAAGCACCACATGGGGGACTGAGAATTTAGCATGTGTGAATGCAGCCATTGTGGTTAGTGGACATAAATTCAGCTAGTGAGGGCTTAAGTAAGCCATAGCTTAGCACGTGTGACCCCAGCCTTAAGCTAAGAGTGGCCAATTCCAAAAAGTCACACACACACGTTTTGGAGGAAGTGCTAAACCTTGTCTGCTCCTGCCTTTATTAGCTACCAATTTCTCTGGGCAACCAGATGTTTCAAGCAGAGGTTGGATGGCCCGGCCTGTCAGGATCTTATAACCATGTATTTCTTATTGGCATCAGACTTCCTACATCAGGGAGGGAATCTACATATCATGCCTTACTCTTTCTCAGTAGACTGTTCTCCCACTGAATGAGCCGTAGGTAGCCTAGCTTTCCCATAGGGAGAGGGGAAGAATTTCCATGTAGGCTGAGTTCACACATCCTGCAAAGCCACAATGTGGTTTGTTTTGTTCTGGGCTTTGGGATGTGTGATCCCTGATGAATAGCTGAGAAGGGTTAGAAGAAAGAATAGGACCCCTTTTCCTTAATATGCATGTTTCCCACATGGGGATTTTTGATGTATGTGCGCTTTGGGTAAGAAGCCTTCTGTCATGTAAACGTCCACCAGTAGCCTGACGTAGGACCCCCTGCCCTCTCCAAACTGCAGATTTAGCACCTCAGTGAGAACTAGCACACAACAGCATCAGGGAAGAAAGATGAGTCCCATATGTCCCTGATACAGTGGGGCCATACTTCCCCCAGAGATGGTCACAGTCTTGATAGGATGAGATCCATTATTTTCCCTCCTTTAAAATAGCATATTAGATATTCTGAGGATCTACTGACGGCTGGCACTCTTGTGAAATGATTGTTTGTACTGAGCACTCAACATCATTAAAAAAAATGCCTTTGGCCCCCCCGTCCGCTCTCTTGGGGTTGCTTTTTTGTTTTGGTAGTTCTGCTCTAGAGGAGGCTGTCATGAGCTCCAAGCAAGGGGGGCAAAATGGACAAGTTCTAAGGTGTTGCAGAAGACACCTGGAGGCCTGGAGGGCACCAACTTCAAAGTCCTGCACTGATGGTAAAATGCCACGGGAGAGATCTTTTTAAGCTCAGGGTTTTGGGGGAAGGGGGCCTTGGCTGAATCTGAACAGCCACAAAAATCTCCTAGAGGGATGAAGAATGCCTCTTGGGCAAGTCTGCTTTTAAGATGGAGGACCTTGCTGGAGGAGAAGGGCACCTGTGGAAGCTGTTGGGTGTTCTTTGGACCTGCTTCCCCTCTCTGCTTGCTTTCAGACCAACAGTGGCTTCTCCTTCAGACACTGAAGGCTGAAACAGCAGACTTTTGATACACAGAGAGGAAGCAGTATCCCTGCCCCATGTGTAAAGGAGCGTTGGCCCCTGCTTTGACCCAGGGGGACTTTCCAGGCCATGGTGGAGACTTTGTGGTGAGGGTTTGGCTCGCCTTCTTTCCCTGCTTCCCCTTCCAGTCCGTGTGGTCAATCGAGAAATCAGCCAGGCTACCCAGACAGGAAGCACCACGGCCAGGACCACCTGAGAAATTAAGGTAAAAAAGCTGCTTAGAATGGCAAAATGTGTATTTTTCCCCCCCTGAAAACCACCAGCACCAAGCAACCCTTCCATTTCCCCTTCTCTAGGAAGGTGAATTAACGGAGAGTCCTCTGGGTTGATGGGAGCCCTGCACTGCAACTGCAAGTGAGGATGTTAGAGGAGTAGGCACCCGTCGGGAGTTACTTGCTGGTAGCCATCAGGAATTCGCTTCTCTTAAGAGGATCTTGGGAGGCAAGGTTAGGACAGAGCCCTGCTTTAAGTTTACTGGAGAACTAGAACATTCTGTGATGCACTTAACCATAAAGCGGGTTGACTGGGGAGTCTTTCTAACTCCCAGACAACTCAAAACATTTCACTGTTTTTTGAAGAAAAGAGAAACGGGGTGAAATTCGAGCATGAAGTATTGAGGGAGGCAAACACGTTTTAGGGAACAAATCAGGAGCTCAAAAAAACCATAGGACTCCATTCCTTTTGCCACCTTTCACACAAACATGTTTCTGCTGAGGGAGACTGCACTGTTGCGTAAGGCACGAGAGCAGTCAACCGAGAGGAAAATTGCAATGAAGATGCTGAGGTTGGGCGAGGTGCCGAGGGTGTAGGCCCACATTTGGCCTCTCCTGATTTGAGATTTCAACATAAATTTTAAAAATTAACCTGCTCCCTCTTCGTATCACACAGTTTTAAACTTCTGTATGTAATGACAGCAGCACAGATGTCTTTCTGAGA